GATTTACTGTTCATTGTTTCGGGTTAGTTTCGGGCAGTAAAATAATTAGTCTTTACAGCAAGTGCTTTTGTCTGCGCTTAACGACCCTACGCCTCTCGTTAAATAACTTATTCAGGAAGGTCAAATCTTTCACATCTTAGAAATGTACTCTACAACAATTCAAGAATTATTTGTATTATGTGACACGATATATCCAAACAAATTAAATTATTTTTGTAAAAATGTCAGAATATAATATGTACAGTTAGCTGCATAAATATGTAATCATTTATCAAGCTTCAAATACTAGTATACGCCTTATTCTCCTTCGTCTTTATTCTTACGACCATGATAACATGTTATTGACGAACTAGTGCGTACGTATTATTGAAACTGAAGATTTATTTAAGTTTCTAAAGTTTTCTCAGTGTGCACATATTTATGCAGCTGACTGTACATCTAATTTTACTTAATCTAATCATTACTTAACTTAATCATGAAAATGAATAATAAAACTTAATCAATGAAATAAAAAATAAATAAATATTCTATTCTATTCTATTCTGTTGTTATGTTATGTTGTGTTGTGTCGTGTCGTGTCGTGTCGTGTCGTGTCGTGTCGTGTCGTGTCGTGTTCGTTCTGTTCTGTTCTCTCCTGTTCTGTTCTGTTCTCTTCTCTTCTCTTCTCTTCTCTTCTCTTCTCTTCTCTTCTCTTCTCTTCTCTTCTCTTCTCTTCTCTTCTCTTCTCTTCTCTTCTCTTCTCTTCTCTTCTCTTCTGTTCTCTTCTGTTCTCTTCTGTTCTCTTCTGTTCTCTTCTGTTCTCTTCTGTTCTCTTCTGTTCTCTTCTGTTCTCTTCTGTTCTCTTCTGTTCTCTTCTGTTCTCTTCTGTTCTGTTCTGTTCTCTTCTGTTCTCTTCTGTTCTCTTCTGTTCTGTTCTGTTCTGTTCTGTTCTGTTCTGTTCTGTTCTGTTCTGTTCTGTTCTGTTCTGTTCTGTTCTGTTCTGTTCTGTTCTGTTCTGTTCTGTTCTGTTCTGTTCTGTTCTGTTCTGTTCCCTTCTCTTCTCTTCTCTTCTCTTCTCTTCTGTTCTCTTCTGTATTCTAATGAAAATTTAGATAATGTTACTTCAATAGTAAAAGATTTCGAGACCGTGTCTTTTAATGCTGCACTTAGATTTGTTTTGTCACTAAAGTTGCCCCTTGGACTATTGCTTAAGTAACCATCAGAATTTGGACAAAACAAAACCATTGCCGCTAAAACAATTCCTTCAAATTAATTATGGTATATAAAATTCCAAATCCTTTACTGCAAATAACTAAATGTACTATAGACCATTTCAATTAACCAATGGCGTATTTATACAAAATTAAATTAATAATTAAGCAGTATTGTTCTCATATGACAATAATTAATCAGCGTGTAAAATTGGCCTCGCATACGATACGTTAGATTATAAATTGCTAAATACGATATGCAGTTGAAGTTTAAATTATGTTCACACCTATGACATAAATAAAAAAAATACCAAAATGTTATTATTTTTAATCAACTAATGAACAATTGATACTTTAAGTTAATTGTTAAGTTATTTAATTTATATTAATATTACACATTTACAATATATGTACACTTCAAGCTCCGTTTACTTAAAGGTGTTTCATAACTTAATTAATAATGCGTAACATAGAACTTCGACTAAGTGAAGTTCATAACTGAACTGTTAAACGTTTAATGCCTAATATTAAGATGTTTCAATTATAAACTCTATTCATCTCTTAACGTGGGTTTCTGAGACCATATTCCCTGCTTAAAACATATCGTTATCTCTAATATTTTATACAGACATTTTAGTATCAGAAACCAACCGTTAATCGGTTTTTAATTACTGTTTCTTTTTGTAAAGTTAATAAATATATTTGCTCATATTATTTGGTATTATAATATTATAGATCACAGTTAATAAGAATTGGTTAAGTAGTTTCTGAGTTAATCACGAACATCATGACATGGAATTTTTCTATAAATGTATAAGATAGCAACTGTAACTATAAGCTAGCACCTGGGAATGTTAGGGAAGAGAAAGTTTTAAATTGCATTAACGCCTGCCCGGCGAGTTAAAATCATAGTTCCTAACTACGGTCTAAGCTCTGATTAGTCAAAGGCTACTTTGTAAGTGAGCTTTGCGGTGACAAATATTTACGGTTAATGCGAATTTCCGAAACAAATAACATGTTTTTGTTTTCACTATCCTTACACCTGTATAACAACGATATTTTCAACATGGACACAATATATGTAGAACTGATTGCCAACCTTCTTTAGTTGAATGGCATTTAAAGAAGAAGAAGAAAAAAAAACCGAGCAAAAAATTATACTCTACTAATTTTCGAGCAATTTAAACTAATAGAAATGTTTATTACAACAACAAATGCTTTTGAAAACTTTTACTATTTTAGATAACTTTATTATAAAACCTACTATTAATTTAATGTACTATTAATAATAATTACTATTAGGATTTAAAAGTATAATAGTAAAAGAAAAATTATTAAAATCTATTCAATAAATTCATCGTGTAAACCAACAATCTAATATTTTCAGTTAATGGCTTTGTTTTAAAAAAATAATGTGTATGTCACCTCTATGAATTTATTACGTTCTTTATCGAGTCGCACGTGTTATAATTCAACATACGACTTATTTGTCTGAATAAAATCGATATTCGATTTGTATTCATGTACTCCACATCATTCATTCAACTCTTGACATTCGTTGACATGCATCACGCCTCTTTACACTGAATGAAACATAAAAAGCTAATAAACTTGAATATTTATTTGAATTTATTTTCATTATTTAGCTACTAAATACTTATTTAATTTTAACCACTCTCTTATTTTAGAAACAAGCTAATAAATCGAAACCAACATGAAACATCCTCACTTCACTGTACGTCCCCGCTGAGGAACTCCGAGCCTACCCTAAGTTATTGGTGATTAGGCCATAGTCAATCACGCTGTCGCAAAGCAGGTTGGTTGACTTCACACATATCTTGGAATTTCTTCCCCGATGTGTACAGGTTGCATCATGATATTTCCCCATTCACAGTCAAATCGTCGGGTAAATGTACATATGTAATCCGAAAATAAAAAAAAACACATTGGTACATGGCGGGATACGAACTCAGGACCTGCAGATTACAAGTCAGAGCTTTAACCTCTGAGCCACCAACAACTGTACGTTTGTTTTTAAAACTCTAATGTCATCCTTAGATGATTTATGTCTGTGGTAAATGCATTCAAAATGTTGAATAAACATTACATAGGTAAAATAAATCGAGATCGATTATTTAGTTCGGGCTTGAGTTATTTTCGTAGCCACAAAAAAGCTTACAACTAAAATCAGATTATAACTTCGACTTTTGAACAGGCAGATGTGTTTTATGAGCTTTGCCTGAACAAGTGTAATGGTTAAACTTTCTTAGTTAAGTGGGTTTACCCATTACATAATTTATTATGATTTATCCACGATAATTATTAAATTAATTTATTATAAACAATGATGTCATTTTGAGTTCGACTGAGACCTATCTTATGATCAACGACTCAGGCTTCAAAAGTCCTTAACATTGCTTTTATGTCAAAACCATACGACATTAAAAAAGGATCTTGTAATTAAACTGACCCTTGTTCTTTAAATTGGCTCAGTAAATTAATTGTAGAAAGGAACTCGTAGGTAACTTAAATGGTTCTTTTAGGAAAATGATAATTAAAATCGGATAAGAATTCGTGGTTGGCTGAAAAAAAAAAAGTTCGAAATGATGCCGTAGATATGTTACAAAAAATAGAACGTAAATTCATGGTTGAAACAACTGAATTCGGTGTACATTATATGTTTGAAGTCCGAATCGATTCATTCATTTTAATCGATGTTTTTAGGAAAAGCACGTCACTAAGAATTTAAATTGATACATGTCAAATGTGGTGTATTAAATTGGCCCACCTAAAGGTGTGATTAAGTCTTAGTCAACCACACCGTCCTAGCGCGAATTGGTTCTTCGCAGATAGAAGGAAGTTGTATCACAATGATTTTCTTATCGTAGATCTGTATATATTTTTAAATTTAGAAAGCTATTCGTAATATAAATATAAATAAAATAAAATAAATCTTGAATTTGAATATGAAATGCTTCAAATACAGAATATTCCCTTGCACGAGGCGAACTAGAAAACTAAGTGAAACTCAACGATGCTAAGAACGCCCGGCATTATCATAAATCGATACTCGTCGTATATCTGCTTTATATTTTAATATTCAAGTCTTACTTTTAAAACTTATGACATAAATTATGCATAATTCTCTAACGACCACTCACTTATAATAATTTCCTTAAAATAAAAATTGCATTGTACACTAAAATGAACTTGAGAAGTATTTTTTTATATCATAAGGTGGCAAACGAGCGAGCGGCCACCTGTAATCGCTGAAATAGCGAAGTGAACGTTGCCCATAGACATACGCAATTGCATATGCGTTGCCTACCTTTAATCGACGGAAGAGAGGATGCACAGAAAGAAAATTTTTCCCTCTCCATGCATCCTCTCATCCGAAAAGTCCACTTCCACTTCCCATCCTTTCTGTAAGATGCGTCAATAAAACACTGCGGTCGGATGCCAACTGATTTATTACTTTCCAATAACTACCTTCATTATACTACACATCTCTCCCCTAATTAATAACATTTTGATAACATTTAAACTAAATTAGCTTTCCACTTAATATATATATAAAGATATATATATATATTTTTTTTTTGACATGTTTAAACTTACATCTACTCTTTTTCCCTCCACCAAGTAAAATTAATTTTTCCCTTTACATCATTCAAGTTTTCTTTATATTAATATCCATATATATATTTTTTTTTTGTTATTTTATATAATAAATAAAATCAAACAGAAAAAAAAATGGAACAAGAATGTGACTAAATTAAAGTGCCTAAAACTTTTTTTTTTTTTTTAACTTTACTCCATCTGTTTCCTTCGCCATTCGCGACGAAGTGCTCTTTTAGTCCTCTCATTCAATTCTCCGGATAACGTGCTCACCTGGTTGGAACTTCCGGGAACCACCAAGGTGCTACCCTGAGCCTCCACCGGCTCCGCCGTCTCAGTGGCCGGCACAGACGCAGTGTCCGTGTAATTGTCGGGCTGCGGCTGTGCCTCCGTGTACGCATCGTAATCAATATCTAAAGTAACACCTTCACAATCGTTATTTTTATTCCGCGGTCTCGTGTTGACGTACTCATCAATGTTGCTATAATTATCCGATTCGTTTACTATGTCCCATGAAAACCTATTGTTGCCGAGAGGTAAAATCTGGTCCGTGTGTCGTCGGTGCACCCCCCCATCATTATTTATAATTTTATAAGACACCGGACCGGTTTGTTGTAAAATTTTCCCTTCGACCCACTTCTGACTATTCGTTGAATAATTTCTCGATAATATTTTATCCCCTACATTAAAGTTCCTAGCTAGTCCCGAGGAGTTGCGTATTTGTTTATCCTGCACTTCCTCGACTATTTTTGCGGTGCTCGGGCGCATCGCGTCCAGTCTGTTCCGCAAGCGATGTCCGAGGAGCGCCACTGCGGGCGCCACGCCTGTCGTTGCATGCTCACAATTTCTATACTGCATTAGGAACCGATATAAACTAGTGTGTATGTCCCTACCTTCTATAACGGCTTTCTTAATAGTTTTTTTTACTATTTTTACACAATTTTCGGCTGCGCCGTTACCTTGCGGTCTATAGGGTGAAGAGGTTATGTGGCGTATCATGTTTCTATCACAAAATTCTCTAAATTCCGCACTTTGAAACGGAGGTCCGTTATCCGTTACGAGCTTATCCGGTAGGCCGAACCTCGCAAATAAACTTCTCAAAAACTTTATGGTGTGATAGGCCGATGTACTACGTATCTCCTCCGCCTCGAGCCACTTACTATGAGCATCCACTACGATGATATAATACTTGCCGTGCAACTGAGCAAAGTCAGCGTGCAGTCGCTGCCAGGGCGCTGCGGGAAACTCCCAGGGATGAAGTGTGGCGCGCGGGGGGGCGTCGCGTACGCTGCGACACGCCTCGCACTTGTTCCCGATCAATTCGATGTCTTTATCGAGTGCCGGCCAATAGACATAATTCCTAGCGATGGACTTCATTTTTACAATGCCTAAATGTCCGTCGTGAATTTCTAACAACACGCGTTTCTGTAATATTTGCGGAATCACCAGACGATATTTATACAAAATACAACCATGATCAATATATAAATCTGAACGCCTAACATAAAAAGCCATTTCATCATCTGCACATTTTTCCGGCCATCCGAACATAATATATCCAAAAATCCTACTTAACAAATTATCTTTAGTTGTTGCTAATGCTATTTCTTTAAAATTAACCGGTAAAGTTTCATCGACGTACATTAAATAATGTTTATCCGGCGCACTCGATGCGCCATCGCTGCCGTCTCCCTCTAGCGGCAAGCGCGACAACGCGTCAGCGTTGCCGTTACACTTTGATTTTACAAAATCAATATTAAAATCGTACGCGGCTAATTTCGCGGCCCAACGTTGTAGCCGACTCGCCGCAGTCTGGGGAATACAGCCTTTAGGTCCAAAAATATACACCAACGGTTTGTGATCCGTTTTTAACGTGAACGTTCCTGCCAAATAAATATTGATGATGTTTTTGCACTCCGTACATAATAGCGAGTGCCTCTTTATCTAATTGACTATAGTTCTTTTCGGCGTCGGAGAGCGTCCTGGAGGCGCAGCTAATGGGACGCTCAGAGCCGTCGGGAAAGGTGTGCGCGAGTACCGCGCCTACACCGTATGCGCTGCTGTCCACGGACAACACGAGTGGGAGCGTCGCCTCGTAGTGACACAACACTTGGTCGCTAGCTAAAATATTTTTTATTTTCCTGAAGGCGATTTCACAATTTGTATTCCAACACCATGACTGATTTTTCTTTAACAGAGCATACAACGGATGGAGTAATGTACTTAAATTAGGAACGAATTTGCCATAATAATTAACTAACCCTAAAAATGCCTTTAATTGAGTCACGTTCGTCGGTTCCGGAGCCTTCACGATGGCGTCCACCTTGGCCATGTCCGGATGTAAACCGTGTTTATCAATAATAAAACCTAAGTAAGATACACTCTTTTGCAAAAAATTACATTTATTCAACTTAACAGTAAGGCCCATGTTTGCCAATCTTTCTATTACCGCACTCAGATTTTTCTTATGCGTCTCCCTATCTTTCCCAGTAACACAAATATCATCTAGGAATACTACAGTATTCGGTAAGCCCCTAAGTGTCTCCTCCATAATTTTTTGAAACATTTGTGGAATACAATTTAAGCCATAGGGAGTACGCTTAAATACATAAGTACCAACATGTGTGGTGATGGCCGTGCAAGCCTGCGAGTCGGGGTGGAGAGGAACTTGCATATACGCGGTTGTCAGATCTATTTTTGAAAACTCCTGTCCGCCGCTGAGGGCCGCAAACAATTCCTCTATCCGAGGAAGCGGATATTGATCAATTTTTAATTTCGGATTTATTGTAGATTTGTAATCGCCGCATATGCGGATCTCCCCGGAAGGTTTAATAATAGGTACTATAGGTGTACCATAATCGGAATGTTCAACTTGATAAATCGATCCCTCTTTTTCTAAACGATTTATTTCTCTCTCCACCGCGGCGCGCAATGCGAGCGGTACCGGCCGAGCGCGTAAGTAAACCGGTTTGTTATCAGTCAATTGCAAACGAAATTGTTTTTTACATTCACCTAACTTATCCGTAAAGACGTTAGGATAATTATTTTTTAAGTCTTCGATGAAACGATTGCGCTGCTCTTTAACATCAAATGACATGTTATTAACATACAGTTCCTTTATATTAAATCTTTGAATCCAATTTCTACCTAACAAAGGACGACTGCCATTCTTGATTACATACATTTGTAAATTATCTTGAAAATTATTATCAATCGAAGCGTTTACTACAATATATCCAATCGGTTCTATACGCGACCCAGAATACGAACATAATTTAATCGAATCCTTAACAATCTTATAGTTAGAAAACAAATGCTTGTAACAATTTTCATTAATTGCCGAAATTTTACTTCCAGTGTCGAGCTCACATTTTAACATTACATCACCTATCTTAACGTCTACAAAATAAGGCTTATCTCCGCTAGAAACCGCACGAATATTGTACATTTCACAGTCGGAATCCTCCTCCACAAAATTGTGTCGCGTTCCCGCCGATCTACTATTAGACGCCTTGCACATTATTTTTAAATGCCCTTTTAAATTACATTGGCCACAAGTGTAATGCTTAAAACGACACTTATCTGCACGATGTGGTTTACCACATCTCCAACACGGCTGCTGTGCCGCAGACGGTCGCGCCGCCGCGGCCGGCCCGCCGCGCAGCGCATGCAGCGGCTCGCCGCCCGCCTGTGAAAAGCCGTCGCTTACGACCGCGCTGACCGCCGCCGCCGCTGTCGCCGCCGCCGCCACGCTGTCGCCGAGGTCCCCGGAGCGCGCAGCACCGCTCACGCTGACGCGGCCGCTCACCCGCTCCACGTGCTTCTCCGTGGCTTCCAAATTTAGAGCTAGCTCCACCGCCCGTTTGTAGGTTAATTTCGCATCAAATAGCAATCGTGATTTAATTTCCGTGCTCCTCAAGCCCGTGACAAATTGCTCACATAAGTTTTCTTCTAAATTTTGTGCAAAATTGCATGACGAAGCCAAATGTTTTAATTGTTGCAAAAAATCGCCGATGCTTTCTTCTGCCTTTTGTCGCCGTTGTCGAAACATCTCCCTTTCGGCGTACACCGAACGTTGCGGTTCTACGTGGCTTTTTACAATATGCACTAACTGTTCGAACGTTTTATCCTCCGGTCTATCTGGTGCACACAAGTCACACATCAAATTATATGTCCGGTCGCCTACCAAGGTCACCAACGTGGCGACCCGATGCGTCTCCTTTATGTCATTTAGAAAAATAAATTGTTCTACACGTCGTACATATGTCGTCCATTGTCCGGAAAACAAATCAAACGGTTCGATTTTACCGAAAGGCATGTTAGCACTTTACTAATTATCACGCACGCGTAAAAAAAAATAACCCGCCTCGTCGCCAGTGTAAGATGCGTCAATAAAACACTGCGGTCGGATGCCAACTGATTTATTACTTTCCAATAACTACCTTCATTATACTACACTTTCCTTATAAGAAAAGGGTGGGAAGAGAAAGAGGACTAAATTAGGCCTCCGGGACGCACACTCATCAGACGAAACTCGGAATTGCTTCCACTCGACGCCTGTCTTCTGTGTGGTCGTGGTATTTCACCGGGCGGGCCGGGCCAATTCGTGCGAAGATGTTAAAGCGGGCTCTACCACTGTCAAAATAAAGTATAATATTTTATTGAATTGTGGTCTTAAAATCTTTTAAGCTACTATTAAAATTTAATCTCAATCAGTTAATTGTTTAATTAAGTAACTTGTAAATTACTTCGAGAAGATATAATCCGTTATCATATACAAGATTCCTAGCTTCCTAATTCCCAAAGGAATAACTTGAGGCTTATCACTTATGCTAAATTGGTAAATTGATGTATATTTAATTCACAGTTAGAACTATGACTTAAAGTGCAGTATAACGCTCTGTTATGATTTATACGTTACAACACTTATTTGCGTAAAATAGTACTTATTTCATTCTCTTACTTAAGTATTTATAATGATTCGTAAACGCTTTGCGGGTTTAGACGCTATGTAACTGACGCGCGACAATCACGTAACTTATCAAAAGTCATTGTCAGCTCTATACAATTTTTGAAGTACGATATGGAATCGCTTCGAAGCGAAATTATCTTATATCTATACGATAGAAAGTATCGTATAGCCCCGCTGTCTTACATCGTTATTGGACTTTCTTAAAACATATTAGATAGAGTCTAAAACTGTATAACTGATGCAAGTTTGGTCCAAAAAGAGCGTTAGGCTTGTTTTATGTTGGGCCGATTGGTGTACTGGTTTGACCGATTGAGTACATAGAATATAAAGAAACTATTGGGAGGCCAATCGGCAAATCAAGACACAATCAATAGAGTATGTTAAAATTGAAAGAATATGTGTGGAACATTGTCGACATCACTTGCTAATAATTAACGCACTTGTGTGTAATTACGCAACTGAATTACACAACAGCGCAATTGTAGTAACATTTAACGTAATAAGGACACGGGTACCTACTTATTAATATATTTATACATCTCTGTTAACCTAAGTTAATTTAATAAATATATTTCGATATAAAACAACTATAATTTACCGTTGCTTTCTGAGACCAAAATTTATGTATTAAACATATCGTCATCCTTGTCATTATCTTTAAGAAAACAGAGATAACAATAAGTTTTATATGTTCTCAGAAACCCACAGTTAGAGTAGCTAGAGATTGTTGGATAGATTTCTGATTCATAATATGTTATTCATTTTATTATACTTCTTTATATGTTTTATGACAAAACTATTTTCTGAAAATTACTCGTGTTTGTATGATTTTCAACTATTATTTTGTGCTCGTGGAAATGCTGAATTTAATATAGTAAGAATATAATAATTAATTTTACACAGAAAATACTTAATTACAACACACAAGGCTTTTTAGTTTGGACCAAGAAATGTTAGTATACATAGAGAGAAAATGTAACAAACAGTAATAATTTGTACATTTACCCTGCTATTTACATTCATGGTTCTGCAGCCGTCCAATTTGAGTAGGCTTAGCAGCGGTTGAATTTAAATTCTTCGTACTAACAGCAATACTGAGGAAAATATCATAGCAAATTGTTGAACAAATAATTTGTCGATGTTCGATTTCTATTGATTTGTGATTTCTAGGTATTTCGAAGTTAGTATGTTGGGTTAAAATTAAAGTAAAATATCATTATAAAATAGAATAATAATATCGGAACAAAGGCGTATTCAATACAGTGGCCTACAAATACATTAACGTAGTCAATACTTTATGTATTAACAACATCACGAACAGCTTGGAACTATGCCAAGAAAAACATTTAATAATAATAAAACATTAATTAACTTTAACGTACGAAGTATCCAATTAATCAATACTAAAAGAGTTCCACAAACTATATGCAAGTAAATAAAAACATCGCTTACATAATGTTTATGTTTGTTCTCGCTGAAGCTCGCGGCTTTGTCCTCCTGCAAATCTGAGTTAACCCAAACGAGAGTCTAGACTGTAATTTAACTTTGTTCCAAAATTCATCTAAATCCATTCAGTCTTTTGCCACTGCGTTGTTACAAACATGCACACAATCATAATTACGCATTTGATAGATAGCAGTTGCTCGCGATTTCGTCCGCGTAGCATAAAAAATCGATATGTATAAAAATCAATTGCTGTTCATTAGTCTCGCTGAAGCTCGAGAATAGCTGCACGGATTTATCTTATCTTGGTCTTAAAATGTTCGTGGGGGTCTAGGGAAGGAAAAGAAAGATTGAGAAAAATTCAAATGATTGCCGGGAACTAAGTTTTTTTTTCATTCTACGCGGACGGAGACACAGGCGACAGCTAGTCCGGTAACAAATATAGCCTATATCACCTAGGAATAGTGTAGCTTACCACCTGTGAAAGAATTTTTCAATTTAGTATAGAAGTGTCGGAATCTATTCAATGCAATCAAGTCTTTCCTCTTTACAATATTGTACTGTGTAGAATACGACTCAAACACTCGTTTAGCTTCTTTTCAAAGTATAACTACACTGATATAGATTTAACAAAAGCATTTATTTCTAAAGAAAAAAATCCTTACAATAATTTACGTTCGCGGTCTGATGTCGTTCGCAATTTGGAAGACTTTTATCTGTCGGCCAGGAACCGTCTAAATTACCGAGTAATCCTATCGCCAAGACATTTTTCATCCGTTGTACCTATTTATTAAATCGCAATTCGTTGTCGGAAAGAAAGATTTTGTATATTTTTTAATATATTTCAGGATATAGTTTGCATATGGATTTTTATGTTTTTTAAAATTGCCACAGAGTATTTTTCTATTTAGCTATTTTTCATTGCCTGTGTTCTTACATTTATAAAAATAAACATCAAAATATTGAAGAAAATAACGCGAACCATCTATCAGAGTATGCTCTTGCATTATAAATTGAACTCCGCAGCATCGCTTGAGTAAAATCTGTCCAATTTATTTTAATTCTTTTCTGGGCTTGTTCATAAATTCAATTCCGAAATTAAAATTTAAAAGTACCGCTGCACAGGCAATCCGAATAAAAGAGTAAAGCGCCAGAAAAGGTTTTGTGTTACATGCATTTTGTTGTTTATATTTTTAATTTAACAACAAAGTATTTGTCCATACGAATAATATGGCTAGTGTTCATGTGATAAGATGACTCGCAAAACAATACGATTGCTCAACTGCACCGGGCTCTACGTATTACTACGGCTAATTGCTGTTGCTACGAAGCGGCTACGCGGACAAGTCGAGGATCGTATGAGGAAACATCTATAGACTTTTGTCATTAATAAGCAAATAATTTTCCACAAAATACCCTTAAAAGACAAAATACTGTGTATAGAATAAGGTCACATTCTTTTAAAAACAAGAAAAAAAAATTCAAAAGAAGAAGTATTCGGCGTGTGCTACGGCAGATACCGCAACGTCGGTTTTCAATTAAGAAAAACTGTAAATGACTATTTAAAATTGACGAAAAATTTAGCTTTTTTTAGCGAACATCTTTTTTTAATGAGCCCGGAATGAAATTCTCAACTCATGGACCTAAAGACTACTTTTAAATACTACAAAGTCCATACTTTCAACTAAAAGGCCAACAAGGCGACAAAGTTCACATCTATATGAATTTACTTTACAAGCGGAAATAGATACACGACGCAAACATATTCGACAAATTCTTTACGTGATAGGCTTAGGGTAAGAATGGAGCGACTTGTGGGCGACACAAAACTTTTCCAATTTGCCAACACCGAGCGGCCCCTAACAATATTATGAAGCTATATCGTTTTAGGATTTGCAAGTTACATAAATATGTGTATATTTAGTACATTATTTATACTTAAAATTACTAATTAATTAATTGGACTGTCACTCGCGACTTCGTATGCGCGGAATTAAAAAAAACATAATTAGTAGCATATGTGTTCTCCCAGACTATGTTCTATATGTATGCTAAATTTCATTGTGATCTGTTTAGCCGTTCTGGAGATACCTTTAAACAAACATCCAACCATCTAAAATTCCTATTTATAATATTAGTAAGAATTAAGATTAGCTACATTTATGTATTTGATATAAATTAAACATAACAAATATAGTTAAGCGTCAATAGCCTAATGGCTAAGGGTACGGATTTCCCATCACGAGGTCGGGAGTTCGAATTCCCGGAATTCGACTATTGTCGTAAACCATATCCAAGCACAAGCCTAGAGCTTAGTGCGAATGGTAAAAGAAATATTAGTAAATTTACAAAAAAATCTGCTAATATTTTAAAATAACAAAAAAATAGGTAGTTTTACATTTCGAGATAAAACTAATGATAATTATTTTGTATTTTAAATATAATGATTATCATAATGCAATTAATTAACTGTAATAATTATTAATTGCATTAAAAGAAATATATTTCTCTTCCATTAACCGTAAAAGCCGAGGAATGGCGTTTGATTAGAGCTTAAAATTCAAAGCATGTCTGCAATAAATGGAGCTTATCGTTATTTATATCGTGTTCATTATCTAGATCTTTCTCAAGAAAATATTTCAGGAATATTAAAAGCAAGTATTTCGATACGAAATATATTCAGTTAACGTTTCCATTCTCGTTTGCTTCCATGTTACTCGATTACTTAATTCAATATAAAGCTTTGTTAGCTCATTTACGATAAAAATACCATAGCTTACTTAATTTCGTGTCAGAAAATATTAAAAGATCTTTGATATTTAGATTTTAAAGACCTTCTCGTCCTCAGAAAAACATGGGACTATTGTCAATATGGATTGTTAACTAAATATCTAGAAACATATAAAGAAGTAGAAATGTTACTGATATTATAAGCGAATGTTTGGATGGATTGATGGATGTTAGGTCGAAGGTATCTCCAGAACGGCTACAAGTATCTTGATGAAATTTTGGCATAGATGTAGAACATACCCAGG